CAAGCATGGCCCCACAAAAAATCAGTTCCTGAGGGTAAGACTGAGTGGACAGCTAACCTTCGCCACTGTTTTTATTAACACACAACCACCTTCACTGATCAAAAAGTACCTTTCCTCACCATTGTACCTAGGATACCTTAATTGTATCAGATCATTTTTAATAAGAATATGTAAATGTTCGCTAATTGTGATCAAAGTTACCTTCCATCCTGCCTTTCATTGAGCGTCTTTTCAGGCAGACACACCCGCTGTGCCATCAGCAACACCAGCAGACCTGAGCATCAAAGCAAAATAAAACCAGCTAAGTTTCCTAGCAGGTATCAAATAAGGCTTTGATGCTCACAGAACAGTGTGAGAATTTTTTGTTAATTCATTCTAGACTTTCAAAATGTCACTTTAAACAGTCCGGTAAGTGGAATGATCATGTACCCATGAATTTGTACAGTAGCTCAGATCTCATTTCAGCCAAAACAAAGACATCGGGGTCTTGATCTTGAGATGTGACAGAAAAACACCTTTAAAGAGTCCTTCGATGCTGGCTGTGGTGCAATTCTAGCCGCGACATCATGATACCAAAAAAGTCCGAGCTGGGGATGTAGCTCCTGCCTGCCTGGCAAACACAAGGTCGTGAGTTCGATTCCCAGTACCAAAAGAAAGTCCTAACACCAAAATGGGCTAGTGCTCTTTGACTGCTTTTTACGCCCCTCACTACACAAAATCCTCTAACACATCAGCTCATCGAATCCTTCCAACAGCGACCTGGGGCAAGCACCATTATCTTCAGCTTATGGACAAAGAGAACAGTCAAACACTTGCCCAAGGTAAGTGGGAGCCAGACCCCAAATCCAGGTCACCTGGTTCCAGGGTTCGTGTTCTTCTCGCCATGTTACAGTACCGCACTCAACTCGGCAGCAAATCCAGGCAAGGTGCTGCATAACTGTTCCTCTAAAGCCAAGAATAGTTCTTCCTACGTCAAATTCGTTGCCCCTCCTATGTTTTCTCTTACTAATGGGTGAGTCCAGGTACTGGAAACTTCCACAGTTGTGACTATGCCCAATAAAAGCTTAAAATAGATATTTAAAGACAAAGGAAAATGGTGAGAATAGAAGCATGCATGATAATTTCAAAGAAATACTTAACTTCTATACATTAGGCCTAAATCTAGAGCTGGGTATGATCGCACACCCCTGTAATCCCGGCACTTGTGAGGCTGAGGCAGAAGGATCTTAGTGAATTTCAAGCCAACCTAGGTTACATAGCAAGTTCAAGGCCAGCCTGAACTACACAGCAAGACTGTTTTTAAAAATCTAAATAAATAAATCTACCAGTAGAAATCATTTAGGTAACACTAAGCAGGCAGAAAAGTCCCATACCTCATCACCATCCCCACATCTACTGTGGGAGGCTGGCTAACGTGGCCAGCTTTAGAACCACTCTGTGACTTCCCAAGTCCTCCCTGGTCCCTGGTCCCTGGCAAGATGGGGGCTCATCAGGAGGCATCAGACTGCAGCTGGACAGCCTGGAGAGAGCCCCGTAGAAAGCAGAGGCTGAAAATTCCCGCTGTCTCTACAGCTTTCCCATCCGTACTATAAAGTCCCTCTAGATCTTTTTTTTTTTTTAATCGGTATCGGGGATCGAACTCACGACCACCTGCTTGCAAGGCAGGTGCTTATGCCGCTGAGCTAAATCCCCAGCCCCAAGTCCCTCTAGTTCTGCAATGTACACACAGTAGGAAGAGTTGGAGATGGAGGCAGGGCTGTGTGGAAAAGAACAAATGTCAGGCACGAGTCTCCCCTGCGCGATGGCAAAACGTTATTTTATCCCCGAGATAAAAATTTTCTGAAATTTTAAGTACACTTTATCATAGATACTTAAAAGGGATAAAAATGTATCATTTTAAAATATTTGATGATTGCAGGTGTCAGTCCTAGAGCCAAAGCAGAATTACCATAGCTGTGCTATGTAGCTGCAAAGAAATTTGAAATTTATGTGTGAAATATGCAAATAAAGGTTACCTGGGATTTTTCCCCATGTGTGCTTGGTCTCAGACCATCTTTAGAACAACAGAGTCCAACAGTGAGAGAGTAGGGATTCAGTTCTTTAAATCGTCCCAAGCAAGGTGACCCTACGGGGATCTGGACCCTTCTGGAGCTACGGCTTCACAGCCAGGCTCCACAGACAGGAGTTTTGACTGACATTTTGTTTTCTCCACAAGTATTTTTCTTCTTAAAATACAATGCTATCCTCTGAGAGTTACGGGGATAAAACAGTGGGCTTGGGGGTCCCAGGAAAATTGGAATGGCCGCGAAAGGGTCAGAAGCCAGAGCCCCCCAGGCCACCACATGGCGGAGGTGTTGCCCCAGACTGCACCTGTGACAGCCACATGGCCACCAGGCGTCAAAGCAGCTCGAATCAGGGACCAGGGAAACAACGAATGGGAAGCCCTCTAAGGCCCTGCGGTGATCACTGCTGCTCGGCTCAGGGGAGGCCAACACAAAAGCCTCATCACCTGTAGACACAGGGAGAAAGAAAGGCCTTCCTTACTCAAAGAAAAGGGTATTCGGATGGCCCAGCATGAGCCAAAGAACTGTCGCGACAATACCCTATCTCAGGTAAAACCAAACTGTCCTGAAAGGCGAAAAGAGAATTAGTGTGCAATTAATCTAGAACGACCCCTCCTGAAATCTTGCTAAGAACACACGAGACAACTACAGCATTAAAATAAAGGTTAAAAATGAGAGTTGTTCACAGCTGAAGTTTAAAGGTTAATTACCAGTGTCCTACACAGGATACAGGCTAGAGTATCAGGGATACAGGGATCAGGGATACAGGGGTTTCGTTAATGCAACCATCTCCAGGTAGGTTCTGTGTGTCAGCCCACAGGTGCCTCGGCTGTGACCGTAAATCAGTGAAGCTTTTGCATAAAGCAGCTGTTTAACAGATCTCTGTCTCCATATGAAGCAAGCATGCCATCTTGAAGTGCAAAAAATAATTAAATAAAGCCTGCACGAAAAGTGTCAAGTTTGTTTTTTGTTTATGTTCTGAAAATTTCAATTAGGATCAAAAAAAACCCTTGAGCCTCCTGCCAGAAAAAAGAAAAGTAAATAGAGAAGGAAGGAACAAAGGAATGAACTCCCTAAGTCCTCGCTATTGTGTACTCTCACATTTCAAGGTCAGATTTGACTAGAAACGTAGGTGCAGCTACCCATGTTTCAATATCGAGGAGTCAAGGTTCAAAGTCAAAAAGTGAAGGCCTTGCTGGTCTTGGCTACACACTAAACGACTTATGAACTTTTTATAAAATAACCAGTACATTCCAGAGGCCAACGCAGGAGGAGAGCCACAAGGTCCAGGCCAGCCTGAGCACATAGTGAGTTCAAGACCAACCTGAACTGATAGGGAGACTGTCTCAACGTTAATAAAATGAAATAATAACAAGAATGCCACAAATTTAGAATGATATTATTTTACCAACTGTTATGGGTTGTAACTTCCTCCAAACAAGATCTGTTGATACTCTAGCCCTCAGGAGCTCAGAATATAACATTATTTCAATTATTTAAAATGAGATCTTATTGCAGTAAGGGTGATCCCTTAATCTAAAATGACTGGTATCTTTACAAAATGAGAGACACACACAAAAGAAAAAAGTCTGGGAAGACAGAAGCAGAGACGGGAGTCTCTGCCTACACCCTAAGGATGCCACACACGCTGGCCACCACCAGAGGCTGGAGAGACATGGCACAGGTCCTCCTTCAGAAGAAATCAATCCCGCTGATGCCACGATTTTAGACTTCTGGCCTCCAGAGCTACGAGCAGATAAATACCTATTGTTTTATGTCACCTCGTTTGTTACAGTGGTCCTAGAAAACTAATATACCAATCCTCGATCCCAACATTCTTAAAAAATGGCCATAGCAAAAATAAATTCATGCTTGAAGAATGCGTGCACAGAAGCCTAGGCAGTGTCCTCACGGCCCCCCAGCCTCCACCAGCAGCAGGCACTTGGCAACGGCTGGAAGGCATCTTGGCCTGACTAGGAAGGATGGAAAGGAGATGCCACCAGCATGTAGCGGGTCGAGTACACAGTACCCTGGGCACTCTTCCTCTTCCCCTGAGCCCAGCAAGAAGAAAGAATGATCCGGCCCCAAGTCCAGCAGTGCTGCTGTTGGAAATCCCTGCTCTAAGCTGAGGAAGCTCAAGAGAATTTCAGAGTGATACAGAGAAAAATATATATTCAGAAAAGTCCTGCATCTCTTACTTCCTAAATCTGATCTTGCTGAAGTTTAGCTCCTCTCTCCAGCTTCTAGAACTCGTAAAATGGTGAGAACAGGGGTCTTCTGGAGGTGAAGTCAGAACACACTTATGTTTCAACCAAGTTGTCAAAGTACTAAAAGTACTAACCAAACCCCAGCAAACAGCCACGGATGACTTTTTTAACTGCACAGGTGGCATAGAAAGATCTCTCTGTCCAGAGTGAGGTGTGGTCGGAGGGTGCAAGGGGAGAGCCGTGGAGAGCAGTCAAGTCGAAGGCCTCCGCGGCCACTCTGGTCCAGCTCTGCTACAGAGACGCTGGTGGACCTCAGCGTCCCTTAAGCAAAGCTCCAACCGAAGCTGACCCCAAACACAGTCCTCGAAGACCTGTAAATTGGGGATCGTGCCAGGCCTACAGTCAGGACCTTCCCGGCCCGCGTCATGAGACCAGCTCCCAAGTCCACTCGTGTGGCGGGAGCTTGGAGTCCCATGCTAGCAGTCCCACCTCCTCACACACCCGAACCCACTGGAGTACTGTGTTTTACTGCAAGGCAAGCGCCCAGCCAAAGAAAACCAGGCATATTTATTTCACCAGGTCGCCGGAAGGGGTCAGAGCCACTCAGCCTCCTGGACTTCCGGGTTTCCATTTTTCCGCCTCGAGGGGCGGAGCCTGACTGGGAGGGGAGGGGCTACGTGAGAGGGGCGGGGCCTCGCCTCGGAACGGAAGTGCGCGTCCTCGCGATACTTCCGGTGCGCGGCGTGAACTACAACCCCCACAGTGCCTTGCGGTCCCGCGAGCGGTGAGGGTCCTGACGAGAAGCGGCGGCTGGGGGCGTTGGCGCGGACAAACGGAAGTGTCGGTGACTGTCGGAGACTTCGCCGCCAAGCTGGGAACCGGGGAGATGGCCGAGACCGACCCCAAGACCATGCAGGACCTCACCTCGGTGGTAAGGAAGGCCCGCACGGGCCCTAGGCGCGGAGGCCTCGCTACTGAGGTTTCATGGCTCAGACTCTGGCGCCGGGCGTGGCCTCGCTATGTGCTGTGACCCCGACCCGCCAGCCCTGGTCCCCAAGCCCCCAGACCCCCGCTGCACCCGCCTGCTGCTTGCTCACGGCACCCGGTGCCCCCAAGCCGTGCAGAGCACCCCAAGGCCCAGCTGCATGCTTAGTGGCCCAAACTGGAAGGGACCTCACGGCCCATCCGTCTGGGGAGGCGGTTAGAAAACTGGGTCCCCGAGTATGATCCGGCAGGTGGGAGACGGCACGGCTACCCAGAGGCCACCCTGGGCTAACGCCAGACTCCCACACCCCACAGGCCTGCCAGGGTTCCCACCCTCATCCCAGAAGGGAATAATTTGGATAATTTCGGGATAATTTGGATTTTGCTCGCGTGTCTTGATCATTTTCTTAGGTGCAGACCCTCTTGCAGCAGATGCAAGATAAATTTCAGACTATGTCTGACCAGATCATTGGAAGAAATATCCTTTTTACTCTTTAGCTTCTTAGGGGCCCCTGGAGCCTTGAGCCAGGTGGTGGTAGACGGTCTGCAGGTCAGCCTCAGCCCGGGGCTTAGAAATTTTTGTACTGAGCACGGATCACTGTGTTCCTGAGAAAGAGGCCAGGGAGGCATCCGAGCTCCATGAATCCTTGGGTCAGAGAATCTACAGTGGGTATATTAATGTCTCCGAACTGAGTGTTTGTGTTTCTCCTTCGAGCCTGTAATCTTATAAATAGGTCACAGAGTTGCCGTCTTTATTTAACAAATGGCAGCTCTTGTTTTAAAAAACGAGAGAGAGCCGGGCATGGTGGTGCACTCCTGTAATCCCAGCACTCGAGAGGCTGAGGCAGGAGAATCATTGTGAGTTCAAGATCAGCCTGGGCTACAAAGTGAGCTGAAGGGGAGCCTGAACTGCATAGTGAGACCCTGTCTCAAAAAGACAAATAAAACAAGAGAAATTACCAGGGTGCATCACCTAATGAGAGTTAGGGCTGGACTTCACCTTGACAGCTAGACTGTAACAGGATTGGAGTGAGACTGGGCAACCATTTTCCTGAGAGTGGTGTTGAAAGCTGTGGTCTGCAGGCCTGGAGGAGAAGGATTGACAGATGGGAGATGTTGGTCTGCATGTCCTTAACCTCACCACTTGATGATATGAGTAGCCGAATCGATGATCTGGAGAAGAACATCGCAGACCTCATGACGCAGGCTGGGGTAGAGGAACTGGAAGGCGAGAACAAGATACCTGCCACACAGAAAAGCTGAAGGTGAGGAAGGGGCACATTGTATTAATTTTAAAAAGTGCGCAGAGCGGTAACGTGCAGGTGTGATTTAGATATAGTCATCCTGGCTTAGGTCAGGTCCCAGCCACGATCCTGGCGAGTGCTCTCTCTCGCTGCCCCCACCCCACCCTCACAGACTGGTTAGGAACTTTCTTGGAAATCAGTTATACACGAACTAGATTGTGGCCACATGAAGCCCTTACTGGAGACCTGATTAAATTTCCACTGTGAGCCCAGCGTGGTGGCGCATACCTGTAAACCTAGTACCTGCTGAGGCAGAGAGATCTCTGTGAGTTTGTGGCCAACCTGGCTACTTAGAGAGTCCAAGGCCAGTGTGAACTACATAGACCGCTTCCAAAATAATACTTAAAAAATAAGTTCCTACGGAAACAGTTTCTTGTTTCAGAGGAAAGAGTAATAATTTAACATACCCCTACAGCAAGTCAGATCCGCAGTTGCCACCCTGTATAGTAGGTGTCTTCATTTTAACCCTTTGCTTGTGTTTGGGGGGAGTGAGGTGGCCTCATTATACTTAGAAGATAATTTTTACACTCATTTTCTCACACCCCATTTGTACCATCTTAATTCCTTACAAAAAATAAAGTTTAATGACAGTTTTATGTGACTGTAGAGTGCCAAACAGAATACGCAGTGAAAGAGGCCTAATTCCCCTTTATTTTCTGCACATTTCCTAGACCAGATTGTCAGAAACTGAAACAGCTGACTGAGGACCAACAGAGTAGAGATTTGGGGGTTAAAGATGAGTAAGCTGGTCTAAAACTTAACAGAAATGGGGCTGAATAACTCGATGAGAAAAATCACGTAGCTCCTGTGTTACGTCTTTAGTCTTCTCTAGAGATAACTTAGAAAATGTTCTGCAAAAGGCTGGCTTCTCTTTATATTAGGTCGCAGTCAGGAATCCCGTCAGGAGGGAACTAAAGAGACAGGCTGGTACCAAAGCGGGAGGGTGTGGAAATGCGTTTTTTAAAATGCAGTTACATTTCCAATTCAATCTGTCTTTTGTAAAAGTGTTACGCAAAGAAGTTGAATAGATGCTTCTGAAAGGATATTTAACTGATAGTTTTGTGTGTTGTTTTAATTTGTCGTGTGATGAAAAGCACGTTGATGGTTTTCATTCTTTAATAGGTTGCTGATAAATTGCACTGAGATCTGGAATTCCACGGTTCCAAGCCAAGAGAAGACCGAGTGGCTTTTCACAACTAACTACTCTGTGTAGACAGGTTTTCTATGATAAAGTGTGCATTCCTACCACGTCCTGTAGAGCTAGTTTATAGAGTGACTCCCCCAGCTTCCCAAACGCGGTGTCCTCCCGTCTTGGAACTCGGTCGTTTGTGGTCTTCATTGTTAAACTAAAACCTGGGCAGTTCCTCCATAAAACTGTCAGACGTTTTTAGTGTATTTTTGTGAAGTCATTTTTTTTCTGCCATTCCTTTTGTAGTAGCTGTTTGGTAAAAGTTGCTGTAGAATGTTTTATTAGATAGTGGCGAAGTCCCTCAGTTGCTGTTAGCCTGGAGAAGCAGACTTGCAGAGTTCAGGGTTCCTTCACTTTCCGCACAAAGCAGCTGTTGAGCTAACTCTGGAGTGTGGGCAACAGCTACTTTTCCAGTGGCTGAACCATTGAAAAGTTGTTTGTTCGGTAACATCCAACATTACTCTGTTGCCAAAACTCAGAATCGAATGGTAACTTCTGAACTGCATGTGTGGGAACAGATGCTGAAGTCCGTGAAAAGTAACCACTGCCAGAGCGGCTGCTGCACAGAGGCTGGCACCTGTTAGGAGTTTTGCATGAGATTTAACCCTTCAGTAGGACCTTACATTGTTCACCCACAGTGCTTACCATAAAAAATCTGGCAGGATTTTGAACCAACCACTTCATCCCTTGTTTGAGCTGTGATTGGAAAAGAGCTGAGAAAGAGAGCTGTGGATCTGCCGGCCACTTGGCTAGCATGTGACGGGCCAGATGACTGGCCAGGAGCAGGCCCGAGGTTTTAAAGAACATTCGTACTTTTCTAAATTCTTGCAGAGTAACAGTTTTATCAGTGCTGGTGGAAGACAGATAGTCTCGCCACTCAGAAATGCAGCACAGGATGCTGAGCCGGAGCCTGTGACCTGGAAAGTGAACCATGTGGTTGTCACCACGGAGCGATTCATAGGACAAAGCATGGATGATTGAAACCCCTGAGGGCTGGTGTGGGGTCCTTCCTAAAGGGACACCCTTAATTCCAACAGTACGGTTTTTCTCTTTTAAGTTTCCTTGTTACCAGGCCTGTTTGTACTGCAAACTTACTGTTTAATATTTTTCCTATTTATAAATTATATGAGGAACACAGCAGAGTCAGATTTGCCTGTAATAAAGCTGCCACAGTTGTTCCCCGGCTGCACAGACATGCGGTCGGTGGATGGGTGAGACCCTACGCTCGGCCCAGCCAGGCCTGCGGAGCCGCGTGCAGGACGCTTTCCAGCCGCGTGAATGGAGCGGAAGTGATAGGGCTGTCGGGATGGAAGGGCCGCAGAGGTGAGGAGGAGCTGCTGCCTTCACGGCAGGCCTCAGAGGCAGCACCCCACCCACCCCTGCCAAAACACCCGCCATGAATAAAGGTGCCTGAGATCCTGCTACTGGAGCTTCCTGCGTGTGATTTGTTTGACTCTCCAGCTCTTCAGAGGGAAATGCACACTGCACCTTAGTTAGCCTGCGAAGCCTGCAGAACTAAGTGTAAATAGCCAAAGGCGGAAGGGGAGGAAGGGGGTTCAGAAGGCGTCATGGCCTTGGTGGCTGCGCTTGAGACGCTTCCCAAGTCTGTTCCCCACAGCACCTGTCTGGAAAAGCCCCAGGGGAGGAGGATTTATGGTCACTTGGGTTCAGTGGACCCAGCTGAATTCCGAGCACTCACCGAGCAGGGAGCATGGTAAAGGTTCCAAGTCCTAGAACAGACTGAACTTTCCCCTGTGAGCTTCTGAGTTACCGGACCAAGGATCGCTGCCTGACCTAGATCCTGTTTCAGTGAGATGATGTGGAGGCGCAGGGAGGTGGCAGACAGCCCCAGGCTCAGGGGCAGAGCCTTAACCCTGGGGTGGATGCGAGAGGCAGTGCCCTGCACTTGGGTTGGTACCTGTCTGCGGTGGGGGCTGCACCTTCCAGCCAGAGGTCACAGCTGTCCACACAGGGCCACTCCTGGCGGCTCTTGGCCTGGACAGAACCAGAATCTGCCTGAGACATGGCTGCATGGCCTGCGGGATGCAGCCTTGAGGGGCTTGCTGCACCCGTATGCTCTGCGCTGCACGGTGCAGCCCACGTTCTCCTGTAGTCTCCGTGCATTTATAGGCCAATGAACGCCCTGCCGAGGGTGACAGAAACTAGGGAGCCCGTGTGGGGGTGCCACACCTGTAATCTCAGCACTTGAGCGGCTGAGGCAGGAGGATCACTACAGTTTTGATGTCAGCCTGGCCTACAAAGGGAGTTCATTGCCAGCCTGAACTACATAGTGAGACTCATCTTTAAAAGATACATAGATAGATAGTAGGATGGAGCACATAGCCCCAAGAAAAAGTTATCATTAAATGCCCTCATCTGCAAAACCCAGGGGTCCGTCAGCCTGCCACTTCCCCGGGGTTAATCCTGCTTTCCTTGAGCCACAGGATTTGAAACAACCTTGCTTTCCTTTTCAGTGCTGTTTTTCTACTTCGTTTCATTACAAGTAAAACGAATCACTTTCTGACCAGGTCACATGCATTCAGTGATTAGGTAACCAGAGCTTGATTCACCTCTGTGAGACCTTGGACTCCTCCCCCACGGTTGCTATGGGAACGGCATCCTCCAAACAAGCCTGAATGGACTTGTCACATCTCCATTGCAAGGTGAAGGCTTGGTGTAAGGCTGGGCTCTCCTTTTATCTTGTGTTTACATTGTAATTAGATTAAAATGAAGGAGTTTGCACAATGTTGTGTAACAACCAAGGCGGTTACCTTGGTGGACTCTTTTTTTTTTTTTTTTTTTTTAATCAGTATCGGGATCAAACTCGTGACTGCCTGCTTGCAAGGCAGGCGTTTATGCCACTGAGCTAAATCCCCAGCCCCTTCCTTGGTGGACTTTTTTTTTTTTTTTAATTAAAAGGAAAAAGAGAAAAAACAAAACAAAGCGGTCTAAGGGTACAAGTAATACAGAACTAAAAAAAAAAGAAATCACCAGTTAATAGATTACACATTATCATCTTAGAGATAGTTGCTCAAGTCACAGTATCAAAGCATACAAAGTGGACATTCAAACAGTGAGACTAAACAGTTGTGTTCAATGATCCAACAAAAACATTAATATGGTCAGCTATTTAACACCCCTAAACACACTTGCAGTTATATCCTTTAGAGCACTTTTTTTCCCTCTCTTTTTTACAACAAAATTTACAATTTTGGGTTTTATTACTCCTTAGTTCTTATTACTTTTTTTTTTGGAAGAGAATAAAGTCAAATATGGCAAAACAAAGCTGTCAGTCAAAACCAAGGATAGACATAGTACACGATGTAAAAACAGTACAAGGTTATCAACAATGGTTACCATAATGCCTCTTGCTTCCTTAAAAAGAATTGTCTATCTCATTAGGTATTATAAAGTTGAACAAAACAGTAGAGAACAAGACCAATAAAACCTAAACATTGTAAACATTACAGGACTTCCAAAGGAGATAATAGTCAAACCAGAATGGGCATCTTAGTGAATCTTATTGCCTTCAAAGTAGTTGCTTATACCCTCAAACTTGATACTATCATACAGAAGGGAACAGAGTCTAATCAGTCAAAACAAGATAGTGGGAGTATTACAGGACTTAAAATCAAGTTAATAGGAAATCAAAAAGTTACTATAATATATCCTGCTATTTTTTTTAATTTTCCCCCTTAATTAAAAAAATCATAAAAAATAAGTTTTTTAATGAATAAGGGAGAGATTGAGATAAAAGAGGACATAACAACAATACAGGTCAAAGCATGACTGTTTCAGCAACCTAGTGCTTCACCACCAAATAACCTGACTTAATAGTAGTTACCATAGTGTCTGTCTTTTTCCTTGAAATATTTGAATAAAACTTCATATACTATAGCTTCAAATATTTCCATATCAAGCAGCCCAGAATAAAGCCTTTCCAATTAATAAGTGAAAACTTTATAAGGCTTCAAGGCCACATAATGGAGAATCATGATTACCACATACTTTTATATATTTGAATCATTACTTACATTAGGGAAACCATTCGGTATTCGTACATGTGAGATTGATTTATTTCACTTATGAGTATGGTCTCAAGCTGCACCCATTTATTGATAAATATCTCAATGTGATCCTTCTTTATAGCTGAGTAATACTCCATTATATAGAAACTCTTAAGGATCGCGCTAGCTGGAGCTGCACCCACCGGTTGTGCTTAACCCTCAGGGGGAGGCAAACAGGTTTCTCTGTGTGCTTCTGTTTCCAAAAGAAGGGACCCTAGGCTAGGCTCAGTTGCCTGCAGTCACATGGTTGAAACACTTGGACCCCGGTGGCTACCACAGCTGTCATTACCCTGCCCTGCACGGCTGCTCTGTCACCCAGTGGAGAACTGACATCCAGGCTGTCTGAGAATCAATCAGCTCCACAACCTTGGCAGCCTGGAAATTTAGTTTCAAAATTAATTTTTTTTCCAGAGCTGGAGATGGAACCCAGGGCCTGTCGCCTGCTACACAAACGCTCTGACGACAGACAAACCCTACGCCCAGGCCCTGAATCTGCATATTGAACTAAGTGTGGTCAAAACTTAATACGTTTACTTGACATGAACTTTTACTTGGCATTTAAATTTTTCAGGACTGATAGGAAATGTATGCCCCTGGACTGATGTCTTTATTTTTCTACTGAGTAAGTGAAAACAACTCCACAACCAGGGCCAGTTCTTCAGACCTCAGAACAGCTAAGAAAAGTAACCACTGGCCCTTGCAGGCCTGACCCTTGCTCCTACACACAGACTACTGGGTGAGCCCTGCTACCACTGTGGCCTATTTATGTCCTTCCTGTCTTATCAGGTCATGGCTCAGAAAAGACAGGAAATCAGAAATAATAGGATTCTTACAAATGTACCCCACATTCTCCTGGGGTGATCTGGGAGGTGAGACCTGGAGTCTCATCTGGCATCATTATGAAGCGTCTGGTGGGGTTCTGTTGTTTAGGTACCAGGAATTGAACTCAGAACCTTTATGGATCTTTCATTTGCCAGGCAGGCGCTTGTTCCCCTGAGCTATATTTCTGGCCCCCAAAGTGTCAGTGTTAGTGGTGGCCTCTCCAAAACATTTTAGGGGTGACAAGGACTCCCTAATTGCCTAGGCTGGAGGCCAAATTGCATTCACTCTGAGTCAGTTTCCTAGAGTCCTAGAGCCATGGGCGTGTGTCACCACAGCTCCTAACTACAGACTGTGGGGACACGCCAGGCCCCCAGCAGCCCATGGAACTTCCTCTTTCCCTGCGGGCTATCCTCTGTTGAGAGTGGAGAAAATATTTAAAGAAAGAAAATGTTTAACCAGGCGTGGTAGCATACACCTATAACCCCACACGAGGGAGGCTGAGTCAGGAGGACCACAGGTTCAAGGCCAGCCTGGGCTATATTCTAAACTCTAGGCCAGCTGAACTACATAGCAAGACTCTGTCTCAAAAAGCAAAAAAGGGCTGAAGGAAAAGGTGTTTCTACCTCCCCGTTGTGCCTGTAGGTCCATGCCTTTAGAAACCCCAGGCAAAGTTGGGCAAGGTGGCCGAAGTGTAATCCTAGGACCCGGGAGGCCGAGGCAAGAGAACTGAAAATTCAGGCCCATCCTGGGCAACGTAGCAAGATCCTGTCTCAAGTAAAAATGCCAGGGCTGGGGACACAGCTCAGTGTGAAGGCCATGGTCTCCGTCTCCAGCTCACCACAAATAAAAAATGTAAAAATTCCAGACAAACAGGACTCTGGCTCTCATTTCTTGTTTGTGACACCAGAAATGTAGGAGTTGACTGAACACAGCTGGTGCCCCTTCCACTCATGGCAGCATTTACCACCCCTGCCACGCCCTGCCCAGCTGAGATTAAGAATAACTGGGGAAAGGGTCCGTACGAGCTCGTGTTCTCCAAAATCAAAGTGAATTTAGGGGCAGTGGAGGTGAAGAGCAGAATATATTTATTGAGAGAAAGAAAGGTGCTTCTGAGCGAGAGAGACAGAAGGGGTCCCGAGTGGGCTGCCAAAGATCCTGTCTTCTAGGGACTTAAAACCATGAAGTAAAGCGGGTCTAAGGTGGGAAGAAAGGCAGAAGGGGCGGGCAGAGCTGTGGTCAACCAATCAGATTAATTGTTCAGGTAAATTGACCAAATCAGGGACAAATGGGAAAGCCAGTCACGCAGCAGTGGACATTTTTACAGACCGGAGACTCTTCGTGTAGGGGCTTGGGGTGGTGACTCCTGGTGTCTCGAGGTGATCCATACCTAATCCCGAAGGATTATACTTAGGGTGTGGTTGCATTTGTTTTCCTTCTGTCTTGAGATCTGGTCCACAGGAAGAGGTGTGTGTCTCCTCCAAGGTCACCAGACATCTGACCCTCTGTGCCGGCCTCCCCGAGGGCCCAGCCCTGTCTGACTGCCTGCGATGTTTCTAACCAGCTCAGCTGCCTGTAACAGGAGGGTGGAAATTTGGGACCTCGGGGTTCACAGGTGGGGGATTTGAGCGGTGATTCGCACAGAGATCACAGTGAGTTTGAAAAGAGGGGAGAGAGGGAGGAGGTGGACACACGCCCGTCACCTCAGGATGCTGCCCACGAGACGGCTGTCAGTAGAAGTGGTGCCCCACCGTGACCCTCCCAAACCGTGAGCCAAAATACACCTCGCCTCATCTTACCCAGACAGGGCTACTGCACAGACAGCCACAGAAAATGGGCTGAGAGGGGGGCTGCTGGGGTAGGCAGGGGCAGGGTGCTGGTTAGACACCCCCTTCCCAGGCCCAGCCCAGAGTCCCCCTGGGGAGCTCGCACCCCACCTGTGACAGGCCTGGGCCTGGGCTGAACCCCAACCACCTCGGGGGCCTCTGAGGAGGGGCTGCAGGAACACAGGTTTCTGCAGGCAGGGAGCCGCCAGGTGTTTGCTACCGACTCAGCTTCAGACTCACACCTGCCCACTCCCCCTGGAGGGGTGCACCAGCCCGCAGCCTCAGATGCTAGGTAGCAGCACCTGGAGCCGCAGAGCCTGCACCCACCCGGACCCAGGGACAGGTTGTCCGGGCAGGGCAGGGCCACACACAGTGCTTAGTTTAAGCTCACAGGTTCGGGTATCGGAGACCTGCATCTGGGAAAGTCCCCTTCCTGATGATCACCCGACCATGTCAGCCGTAATCCTGCCACAGTCCTGTCAGGCCAGCTGACGTCCTGATTTGGACACTCAAGGCTCTGGTGTCCGTGGTCTAATGTTCAGGCCAACGCGGGTCATTTCTTGTCAGTGACCTGATGGTGCCACTGCCCGGAGAATGCAGGGAGCCTGGCTGGCCAGCAGGGATGACCTGTTAGCCAGACTGGACTCGGAGCTGTCTGATCGAGCCACCAGCCCTGTGCCAGGCCAGGTGCCTGGCAATCCCCTGGCAACCCGTCCTCAGAAGCACTCCAGGTCACTGACATTCCCAAAGAGCTCTCCAGCTGGAGGTTTCCGCCCTCCAGCCAGCCCTCAGGAGTCCCATTCCTGTTCCATTCCTCTCCATCGGCCCCGTGGCTTCAGGGCCTCTTACTCTCCGTAGGTTGTTAGAAGTTACATTCATGATTCAGTGTTTCCAAAAACTATAAACCTTCACACCTCAAAGCCCAGTTTTGAAAGCCAATGGGTAACAATTAGTCCCGTAAATATAAATAATACATTTCTTGTAATGATAAATTCTGAAAATGTAAGACCATTGGGCTGATTCTGCTTCAAAACTTACTAAGGCAAAGGACTGGGCCGAATGCTTTGTGGAACCGAAGTCTGGGCCCATGGACAGGGCAGTGCAGGGAAGCCAAAGACTGTTGTCCTAACAGGAAATGGGCCTTTCCTCTGGGGGACAGACAGCTCCTCAGGGAGCCACAGTCTGCCTTAGAACCCCAATCTCCAGGCCAGGGAACAGCCATCCATCAAAGCATGCTGTCTTTTGCAAGCAGAATGTTAAAGAGGTTTGTGGCTGACACAGGTTGGCCTGGTTCCATGAGCACTGGTCACTGGACCGGGCCTTCTGTCGGATTAGATGAAACCCATCGGCCGTCAGCACCACCCAAAGTCCTGTCAGGGGGAGGACCTCAGGCGAGGGTTAGAGGGCTCTGTGACCTTGCATTGTGCCCTCCTCAATGAGAAGCAGAGTCCAGGGTCCCTCTGCACAATATTTCCACAGTCACCGACAAGGGAGGTTTTCCCCACCATAAACCCTGCCAGAAATTGCTGGCTATTATTCACCCTCATTGGTATTCAGGACCTTGCTGGACAGGGTTTGTTAGTGATGCCCGAGTTACTGCTTGACAACTCAGAGTTAAAGAATCTCTCCCAGTAGCTACTTAGTAACCAGTAGCTGGGGGAGGATCTGTGGCAACCCCAGCACCAAGGTGACTGACACCCCACAGGTGTGCTGGGTGTGGGTCTTGCTGGGAGCCAACCCAACGGTCCTCTCCTGGACTCCAGGAGTCCTGGCAGGGACCCAAAGGCCCATTCTGGGGCTACCTGCTCTGTCTTTTGATCCAGGAAATGGGAACTTGTTCACTTTTAGATTTAAACAAAAGCATACACTGAAAGACTGTATTTCCTTAGAGATATTTACCTTAGATCAGTGGTCCTTAGATTATAGTCCCCAGGCCAGCGGCATGAGCAGAGCTCAGGAGTTAGACATGCAGAGTCCCAGGCCTTGAGGGAGCAGGGCCAGCGCCCTGGGTTTTGTTTTGTTTTGTTTGTTTTGTTTGTGGTGTCAGGGATTGAACCCAGGGACTTGGCACTGTGCTATTACCCAGCTCTTTCTCTGTTTTATTTTGAGACAGGATCTCACTGTGTTGCTAACTTGCATAGCCTGGGCTTGAATTTGTGATCCTCCTGCCTCGGCATCCTAAAGTGCTGGGATGACAGATGTGAGCCATAATGTGTACCGTCACACCCAGGGGCAGCCGGGTTTTAATGCTTCAAGAATCCTCCAGAGGATTCTGGGCTCAACCCAGGGAGAAAAAGGGTCTCGGGCTGAACCTGGATAATCTAACAGTTCAGGGATGAGTGGCCCACACAGCAGAAGCCCTGGGGCATGGATTTCACCCCACGGCTCCACGGCCCCTGATTCTATGCACAGGGTCGGGCCGGGGACCTATACCTTTAATAAATCCCCTAATTTACTATTTTGAACATATTACTTCCCGGCTTATATTATCTTCTTCCATGGTGGAGAAATAAGAGTGGAGACGGCTCTCAGACCCTGGCTGAGCCTAAGGTAATTGGAAAGGAATTGATTCTTAATTACCCGGAACTTCCCAGCCCTGGGCAGGAGTTTGACCTTTCCGGACTTCGGAACCCAGCGTGGGCACCAGCCCAAGGAGCTGGGCGTGGGGGGTGCTTGCTTGCAAGGCTCACATCTCTCTAAATCAATCTGCCTCTTATTAAAAGCCACTTCCATTCTGCAGTGTCTCCACTCGGGCAGAGAAAGGGCGTGCAGTCATTAAAGCTTCCAGGGTATTGTGGCTGATTTAAAGAGCGTGCTTTTACCAGCAGGTGCGTTATTCAGTAAGGAAAGTATTCATTAAAAACAGGTGAGTTTTATTTTTCATTCGTGCACGCTTGCAGTGCATGATGGCAGAGACAGTGGGCAGCGGTCCTGGAGGACGCCACGTCTGCCCTCCTCCGTCTCCAGCCCTGCTTGTCCCCTCCGTCGCGTGGTCCCTTGCCATGTGCAGAAGCTGTTTCCACGTTATTCCTTTCAGCTCTGGTTCCCCCCCCTTCCCTTCTCCCCCTCACTCTCCCCCTCGCTCCGTCTCTGTCCACCTTCCCATTTGAAAAGCTCCTCCTCCTTCAGGTCATCTTTTATTTTGTGCTTTATATTTTGGGTTTCTCATAAAGAGAAGTCATGCGATATTTAACTTTTTCAAATTGTTTTTATTTTAAAGTTAGTAAAATCCAACAAAACAAAACAGAACAAAGCCAATCAAAACAGTGCAGCAAAATTGGTACAGAGGGGCTGGGGATTTAGCTCAGCGGCATAAGCGCCTGCCTTGCAAGTGTGCAGTCGTGAGTTCGATCCCTGGTACCAATAAAAAAAAAAAATTGGTACAGAACCTCAGAGCAGGATGCTAGGAAAACAATAGCTACCATAGTGTATCTCATTGTCTTCACAATAGTTGTCTATTCCACCAGGTATAGCAAAATCCAACCAAAACAGAATAAAACCAATCAAAACAGAACACTGAATAAAGAAAACCAATCAGAACAAAGCAAAACAGCAGAAACAATATTTGCCTTCAAAGACAAGATAGAAGGAATTCCTCTGTATTTGCTGTACTGCATATGGGCTTCCTCCCAAGAGATGCTCAGACCGCTGGCTCCAGGCCTGCAAAATCAACCCGCCAACACAAGCATTTAGTCACTTTAGTACCTTAGCCGCTATCAGCTCAGCCTGTGCTCCGAACCAGCCGGCCACTTACAGAGGCGGGGGAGCGTGGAGGGGAGAGTTTGATTCTCAGCCCACGCGGCAGTAGCCTAGCTGGAGGAGCTGACTTTGCCCTTCCTGAGAGCTGCTGGCTTGCACGGCTTACCAGAAAGCCTGGCGAGTTGGCTTCTTGTTGGATCCTCCTAGTCCCCACCATGCAATATTTAAACTTGTGTGTCTGACTTACGTCACTTAACGTTAGGGTCTCAAGGTGCATCCATTTACCTACAAATAATGCAAGTGTATCCTTCTTTATGGCAGAGCAGTACTCCATCGTGTCTACACTCACATTTTCTGCATTTATCTGTGATGACCACGTAGGCTGCGTCCAGAATGTAGCTATTTGGAATGGTACAGCTGTAAGCATGGGTGTGCCTGTGTCTCTGGGATGGGATGTCTTTAACTCTTGTGGGAAACTACCTCAAAGGAGAACAGCTGGGTCAGGTGGAATTTCTAGTTTTAGTTTCTGAGGAGCCCCGACACAGCTCTCTGTCACAATCACGCTGGTTTACATTCCCACCCACAAGGCAGAAGAGTTCCTCTTTCCCGTGTCCTCGCTAACATCCATTATCGGCTTCGTTACTGGCAGCCTTCTTTCTGGTGTAAGATAGATCTCACTGCTGAAAACCTGGCAATGTATTAGCTCATTTGTCTTTGTTTCACGAGAGCATGATCTTTTAACCTGAGTGCACTTTTTCCATAACACACCAATGCATTTAAACCGCACTGAACTTGTGAAAGTAGCAATATATTACTAATGATGGAACAAATATTTATGAAGTTACATTTCTAATAGAAATCCCGGAAGGTTTTAAGCTGGTTTGTGTACTTAAAAAACACTCATGTTTGAATAAAAAACCAAGAAGCCTTTAGGTGTCCAGGATGAGGGGAATCGGGCAGCAGGCTCAGCAGAGAGATGGGGGGTCCTGGGGTGCTGGGTCGGCTCTCCGGGGTGACGTGGAGTCCAGGGCCACCCAGTTGCCAGCACTTCCTCCCTGGGCACCTTGGTTGGGGTGGAACTGGATCCCCACAATGACATGTGGCAATGCCAACCCCCGGCCCATGTGCATGTGGCTGATCCAGCAATGAGATGCGGTCAGAGAAAAGAGGCAGACACGGCGAAGGCCACGTGACTGCCAGGCTGTGCGGCAGAGTCACGGTCCTGGACAGCAGGCATCGCTGACTCACCACAGCTGGGGACCACAGCAGATCTCCCCCAAGCCGAGAAAGATGAACCAGCTCCGCTCTGCCCGAGGCCTGGGCTCCCGACTTTCGCCTCCAGGGTTATGAGAGTGAGCCGTTGTCTGAAGCTGTCCCTGCAGCCACAGGACAGGGACACATCAGCAGACTGAAGAGCTCCACGCCCCTCCCAGCGCCCTCACAGTGTGCGACCTGGATTCTGTGCCAGTTCCTGAGAAGCCGCTGCAGAGCCCAGAGCTGCTCTGGGAAGGGACGTGCTCCCGGCAACGGGCCAGCATGGCAGGCACTGCTTTTCCTCACCCGAACACAAGACCCGGAGCTGTGGGACCCGTTTTCTTCCTCCTTCCGCAACCCCCAGTTCTGGGGACTGCACCCTGGAGTTTCACTGCTCAATTTTTTTAATCATTTTTTTTAGATGAGGTCTCCCCAAGTCACTAAATTCCTCCGGCTGTGCTCAGCTTGGGATCATCCTGCCTCAGTCTCCCAGAGCTCTGATGTTACAGTCTGTGCCTGGTTCTCCCCCCAACCTCAAGGGGTCCTAGGTGGAGCGTTCAGAGCTGGGTGGGTCCAGGGTGTGTGTGGCTGAAAGGGATTCACAGTGCACACTAGGACCAAACGCACGAGGATTAAAGGTGTGAGGGCTTCCTGCCCCGAGTAGCCTGGTTAAGATACAGGAATAGAGAGAGCTGTGGTGACTCTTGCTGCTCCACTGCCTTCTGGCTGCCATGGACTGTTCCTCTTCTGTGATGCCTTGGAGCCCAGTGATTATGGACTGAACCCTCTACAAACTGTGAGCCACAAAACCTTTTCTCCCTTAACTTTGGGCATCAGGTATTTTGTCTAAGAAAATACCTTCTTAGTAACTGAGGCAGCTGGCATTGCAGGCGTGCACCGCCAGGCTGGGTTCAGGGCTCCCTTTCAACCAGGAGATGCAAACATGAACTTGAAATGAGAGGGCAGGAAGCCGCTTCCAAAAGCCTGGGCTTTGGAGTCCGTACTGGAAGTGGAACACTGCCCACGGCCCCCGCAGCCTCCGCCACCTGCAGCGCGGCCTTAACAACGTGCTGTGATTGTCTCAGGGCAAGGAAGAGAAAGGAACCAGCCAAGGCAGATGGAGGCCACGTGGGTGTCACAGCCTAGGACTCCGAGGACAGCTCTCCAAGCTGCCACCACCACTCCCGAGTGGCTGTCCTCAGTCCGCCCTACCACACTGCCTGCCTTGGAGCAGGAGAAACTTATTCTCCAAGGCACCAGGGGACAGAAGTCAGGAAGGTGACAACAGGGTTCGAAGGCCCCAGGGAAGGACCTTCCTGTGGCTTCCAGCTCACAGCTGAATTGCCCAGTTGGCGTCCACTGTCACCTGGCCATCTTCCCTCTGTGGGTCTGTGGGGCTTCACACAGTGGCCTCCTATCTGTGGTCTGTGTCCAAATTCGCCTCTTCTGACAGGGGACCCCAGTTACTGGATTATACCCACCAAATCTGCGAAGACCTCATCTGAACTCACTGTATCTGTAAAAGATTCTATTTCCTAGTGAGGTCACTCTCACAGATACTGGGGGTTCGAGGAGCAGGATATATTTTGGGGAACCACAACTGTTAACGTACAACACTGCCTCAGTTTCCCCAACTCCCAGAACTGGAGCTACCAAGCCAGGTATTAGGTACAGAGAGAGGCTCTCATTGGCTGAGTGTCTGCCCCGGTCCAAGCGGGCTGATGGGCAGTTTCAAGGGGGGATGGATGTGAGTGCTGGGGCCCCACTGAATCACTGTTAAGCTTCTGACCTGCTCAAGCTGACACAATGTATCGACCATTAAGGGCCCCCTGGTGACAATGACCACACTTGAGGGTCACAGAAGAAACCATCCCCAAGTTTTCCGAGCATTAATTCGTAGCTCCCATGTGTGGCGCTGGAATGCATCTGTCCCCTGCTGTCTGGCGGGGTCTGGGCAGAGATTTCATGTCTAGGGAAGTAGTTCCGGGTCAAAGTTCCTTGTATGCACTCATTTGGGACCCGGAGCTTGGCTCAGCCATACACAGGCCCCTGTCACCTGACCATGCCTGTCCCCTCTCGTTGGCCTGCAGGGTGTCCTGAAGCTCTGAACACCACTCTTTTCCCACTGTCCAGGAGCTCATTTGGATGAGGGCTGTGACCTGGGAGGGTCTGTTTCCCTGCCCGCTTTCTCCCTCGGACTCAGCCTCCTGGCCACCATGAGGTAAGCAGCTGTCTTCCGCCAGACCCTTCTCCCATGTCTTCCTGCTTGGTGTCAGCCAACGACGGACTAAAACTATGAACCAAAATCTCTCCTCCTTTAAATTGGGGGTGTTGGGTACACTGTGGGAGGCAGGAGGAACGTGACAAAGGTAATCTCTGGATGACTGGCTTCGTGTGTGACAGCCAGCTCTTTCACAGAAATCGACTGGTGCATCAAGGGTTGATTGGGTTTGGAGAAATTAAGCCTTTTTTCCATAAGTAAGTAAACTGGGAATTAAATTAGGTCTAGCATTCATCTGAGGCTCCTGACAACTTGTTTGCAGAAAGTAATTGCTGTGGAGCTGGAAAGTTTAGTAATCAAAGAGCAACTTGAGAAAAACGGGAAATTGCAAAAGAAAGAAGGGAATAATAAATTTGAATTAAGAGCTCATTTTCCCCCAAGATTTCACGATGAAGGTTTCCAGGCACGCAGCAGAGCTCAGAGGTTTCTGCAGAGGGCTGCTGTGTGTGCTTCCCCAGCCTCAGCCAACAGTGACCGGGTGTCCCCTGCCCACCCGAGGGTGGCAGCTTTGATCCGGTGGCTGGTGGAAAGTTAGGGGGCTCTTTAAGGAAAGTGCAGACCAGCCCAGCCCTGGCCTTCTGAGGCCTCGGCCCAGGAGGGGGCCGTCACCCCAACCCAAATCCCTGCTTCCTCTTCCTTCCCACCACACCCCCATATCTCCGAGGCCTCCGAGAATAGACTGCCTTGTACTATGAGCACAGGAGCCTGGGGCGCATCTGTCTTCCCTGCTGCCTGAGACACCCCGCAGGCCCTTGGGGACCGGGGCTTGTTTATCCCCAAGTTCTCTTTAGCGTGCAGCCAGGGCCTGGCCCCAGCAGGAGCACTGGTGTTGAGGAAAAGGCCACTGAGAAGTTGGCTGGAGCCTCCTGATGCCGGCAGCACAGCCCCTGGCCCCCTGATTTTCACCCCCAAGCACAGCAACCCGGCAGGTCTCATGTGCCAATGCGCACGCCACAATCCTCACTTTTGGGCTGCAGATAATAAGCTGATAGCTCCAAGGAAGATGCAACTAATATCCAAGCAGCCATTCTCAAAAGAGGGGAAATAGTCACTGTACAAAGGCAAGAGGACCGGGAAGTGCAGAGCATCAAGGTGCCCCGTGTATGCATGTCACAAACCATGCCAACACGTGACGCGGAGGCCGGTGGTGCTGGGTCCAGGGCCCCCAGAGAGGCATGAGCATCTCCCCTGGCTTCCCGGCAGGCTGTCTCCTTTCTTATGCTCTGCCCTGCAGTTTATGATTCTTCTTCTTACTCCAACATTAAACATTTCTCTTCTTTTTAAGAGAACATGCCCAGAGACAATTACGGACATGCCTCATATTCTGTGACTTCTATATCAATATCAGCGAGCCCAGCAGAGTCTAAAACACGAGCCCGAAGACTTTTAGAAAAAGCCCCTTGGCTGCACGATCAACCTGCAGCCATCTCCACTGAAAACAGTTGGAATAATTGGGGATCAAACCCGGGCAGCGCTGAGCAAGGTCCAGCAGTGTCTCTTATTTTTTTTTGAGGCGGGGTTTTGCTAAGTTGCCCAGGCTGGTCTTCACCTTGCGATCCTCCTGCGTCGGCCTCCAGCTAGTGGGAATTACAGGTGGGCGCCATTTCGCCTTGCTTGTTCTGCCTTCTTTGTGTCCCTTACGAGCAAGTCTATTCCTCCTGATTTTCAGCCACTTGATTTCATGCTGAAGGCTGGAAGGTTACACATGATGGTCACTCATCACTCAGGGGTGTGAGCCACAGGTCCTCTGATCAGTCAGTGACCTCCACTGGACACATGTGGACACCCAAGTTCAGCTGAAAGTAGCTTCAGAGGACAGATGACTGTCCTATCTGCTAAGGGGTGGAGGCTGCTTTGCAGACTTCTCTTCCCTTCTCTCTCTCTTGTTTTTGTTTTTGTTTTTGTTTCTTTTTGTTTTTGTTTTGAAGCAAGGTCTCACTATGCAGCCTAGACAGGCCTTGAACTCACCATGATCCTCCCGCCTCAGCTTCCTGAGTGCTGGGATTACAGGTGTGCACCCCCACACCCAGTTTTCCCCTGCCCCTTTTTCTCATCCAAGAAGCTGGAAACCTTACACTAACTACATGGTCCTGATTTATATTACACCAGACTGTTGAACTTTGAACCTGCTGATGTGTCCCAGGTGAGTTTCCAAGAAGGGACGATGGAGATATTTGCAGGACAGAGCCCTTCTGCACAGCACGGAAGAGACCAGTATGAGCTGGACTCACCGTGGACATCCGTCCTCCCTCGTGTTTTCCTGCTGGCCACCTGCCTGCCTGTTTTGGTTACTTTTCTCTCCTTGCTGGGACAAATTACCTGACCCCCAAAATGAAGGAAGGAAAGGATTATTTAGCTCACTGTGTGTGGAGGTTTCAGTCCATAATCAGCTGGCTCCAAAGCACGGTGGAATGGCACAGGGGCAACACTTCAAGGCAGCAGCCCCAAAAGCGGTCAGAGCAAAGGCCTCTTCTCCTCCCTTACCTTGCACTCAAGCCACGCCCAGCCCCGCAGGGCAGATGCAGCACTCCCAAAACCTCAGTGCCCTCCTCTTGTACAACATGAGGATGTTTACACAGTAAGGACCCTGGCTCCCTGCCAAGTCTTTAGTTAAACTTCTCAACTTGATACAGTGTGTCAGCCATAACACTCCTACCCATCCCGCCCTTGTGCCTAGGAGAAAGCGGATTGCTCAATGAACATTGTGCCAGGAAGCTCAGCTGACAGCTCCACACTGCACTCTGCTATGGGACACAGCTGATTGTTTATCGGCCTGGCACAGACTGCAAAGGCTGCCAGGAAAAGAAGGTTCCAGGACCCCGGAAAGCTGTGGTCACAGAAAATGACCCTGAGCAGCCACCCCCCAGGTCTGTAGTTGGGGATGCAGAGAAAGGCATCCAGGGATGCTGGCTCGGACACAGGCGCAGGATGCCCGGGACCTGGGTACCACTGCCCCCCAACCCCATGCAGGTCCCTCCCACAGTGTTCAGTTCCCCAAAATCCCTGGAGGATGGTCAGGAACGAGGGACCAGGACTTTGCTCGGGGTGTTTTCGTTCCTTATCACCAGCCTGCTGTGCTCAGCTGTTGACCACCGGGAGCCACCCACCCAGCAGGGAGCCAGCAGTGGCCTTTGTGAACAGGTGGATGTGTGGGCTTGGGGTTCACTCAGCCACTGCTGATCTAAGTCCCAGACTCCTCAGGACCCGCGGTGAACTGGGCTGTCCTGCGTGCTGGCTCTGGCCACTGTGGCAAAATGGTCACCAGTTCAGATTGGCCCAAGGACCTCAAGCAGCACTCCTTCCAGAGACTGGACCAAAGTTCCCGGGACATCCTGGGGCTGTCTCATTGGTCTAGCTTGAGAAGCAGCCTAGACTGATGGACTGATCTGATTGGAAGGCCAAACCTGGAGCTGACCTGGGTGCAATTTAGAAGGAGCCCTGGGAGGAGGCTTGGGTTTCCTCACAGAGCTTGTGACACAATTTACCATCATGAGACCGAATGAAACCTCAGGGTCTTTCCCAGAACCGATCAAAAATTTCAAGACAACAACAGCAGAGCGTTGAGCCATGTCCTGTGCATGGCATGCATGAAGCTGGCCCAGACTCCCAGATTGATTGCTCCTCAGTTCGGAAAGCTCACCACCAAGTCCAGGCCTCTGGATGTTCCCTTCTGAGCGGCAGCTGTGTTTACTTCTGGGGGTGTGCAGGGCGAAGTAAGGGGTGTGTGAGGCTGGGTGGAACTTCCATTTCCCCAGAGTGGGCAGAGGGGAATCAGAAGGCAAGGGGCAAGCTGATCTCCGCCTCACCTCCAGAGGCTTGAAGCTGGGCCTGTCCAGGACCTGCCCGCCCTCTCTGTGACCAGCAGAGGGCAGTGTCGCTCAGCCAAGGCCCCAGCAGCCCAGCAGACCCAGCAGACCCTGGAACTGAAGTTCCAGCAGGCAGCCTGCGGCTTACCCCCAACTCCCAAAGCCAAGCAAATAAACTCCCCAAGAAATAGTGCCTCAAGGGTGTGTGGCCTGCAGGCAACTAAAAAGGCAGTGAGAAGAAATCACTTTCCAAGAGCAGTTCAACTTCCCGCATTCCCCCTCACAGAAGGAGGAATGTCAAAGCGCTGGCTGGTTTTCCCATGCCAGAAAGAAGAAAATGCTTGGTAGGCACTTTCCTGTGCAGTATCGCTTGATAGTCAAAAATACTTGAAGAGGAAAATGTTTTTATATATTTCTTAGTTTCTGAATAAAACAATATTCCAAGAGCAATTTCTGGAGCTGCTGGATTCCATTCTACCCCAGGGCCTTTGTATGTGCCATTTCTGTTTTCTGAAACACCTTCCTCCTCCCCACTCCTTATTCACTTAGCCAACACCTACGTACTCCTATGTGTCCGCTCCAGCGTTGCATCATCAGGGCAGTCTGTTGAAATGCTTCAGACCTGGCCAGGTCCTCTGGCTTGTTGCTCTCCAACAGCCCACCCCGACCTCACAGGACTTTTCACAGGGGGTATCTGTGGATCTGTGTGAGCCTCTGATTGGCAGCTTCCCCCCTGCTGGTCTGCTGGCATCCAGGCAACTGTTTGCCTCTGCTTAGCCCTGACTCCCGGTGCCCTGGGCCTCACCTCCCACACACCCAGATCGCTATTGGCTGGAAAGCCCAGCTTCGCTTGCAGGGATCACTTGCAACTTAGCAAGTCTGTGTCTCAAAATAAAAACTACAAAGGGCTGGGGATGAGGATTCCAAGCCATGTGACTACAGAGCCAAGGTCCCTGTGCACACACTTAGGCAGCCTCTGCGTGCAAGGGTGGGGGAGCAGCTGCTGGGACACAGGGTGGGGGCCGGGAGGACCTCGCTGTGTGCAGCAGAAGGAGGTGGGGGGGTCCAGGCCCGGCCCTGCCCCTCCCCTCCCCCCTCCAGGCTCCCCCCCCCTCTGTCCTTTCCCCTCCCCACCCCTTTGCCCCTTCCCTTCCCCTTCTGCTCCCCTCTCACCCCACCCCTCCTCTCCCACTGGGCTGGCACATTGCACAGGGCGCCAGCGCCCACCCAGCCCCTGCTCCTTCCGGCCCTGCGCACCCCCTTTCACCCCTTCTGCCCCTGACCTTCACCCCCTCACACCCACACTTCTGGCTCTCATTCACAGAATAAAATGCCTTTTGCAATGTCAGCCATCAATAGATTACCAGAAGAAAATCTTTTGTTCAAACAGAAATTCTAATTTTCCAAAGGAGGTGAATAGACTTGCGGAAATGGTCACAGATCAGCAATTCTTGCTTGCTCCACAGAGACAGTGCTTCGCCTGTCTCTGTAAGCAAGGCCAGAAGCTCCCAGCCGAAGCTCCCTGTGAGACTGTGCAGGCCTCCGGTTCCAACACACACTGCTCAGGAGAGGCTGCGAGCTCCTGGCCAGCTGGGCGGAGGCCCACAGCGAGATGATGAGCCAGGTGGGCTCAGGTGCCCTGTCGCCACGGGAAGGGATTTACCACTTGGCTGGCGCGCCTGAGGCCCGAGTTCAATCCCCAGCAGTGCAATCAATCAAAAAGTAAGCGGGCCTGGTGGCGCACACTGTAATCCTAGCTGCTCAGGAGGCTGAAACAGGAAGACCACAAATCAAGGCCAGCCCGAGCAATCCAGGAGGCTCTGCCTCAAGGCTTTTCTTCAGTTTTTATTTCCACTAGTACATGCTTGTGGGGAGTCTGTACCTCTACATAGCACCTCTGATTCCTTGTTCACCCCGCTCCTTGCCCTTCCCTTGCCCCCCATCTCTTGACCCCTTCTCCTTTGAGAAAGATCTATCTCCTACTTCCTAGTATCTATCTTTTTTTGCTCTTTATTTATACTTTGGGTTCCTTGCATAAGAGAAACCATGTGATATTTAAGCTTGTGTGTCTGATTCATTTCACTGAACACCATAGTCTTAAGGCGCAGCCATTTCCTGCAGTGACTCAAGTCTAGCCTTCTTTATGGCACAGTAATACTCCACTGCATGTAAATCCTGCACTTTCCGTATCCATTCATCTATTGATAGTCATAGAGGCCACTTCCATGATACAGATGCTCTGAACTGTGCCTTGGTAAACAGATTGCTGTGGTAGGACATCTCTAACTGCTTGGAAAAGATTCCTGGATCTGATGGGATGAAATTTTTAGTTTTGATATTTTGTGGAATCTCCGTCCTGGTCTGCATGTTGTTACACTAGAGTCTTAGTTACTTTTTACTTGCTGAGACAAAATACCTAAAGCCCAAAGTTGGGAAAGGAAAGGTTTATTTCCTATAGTTTGTGGAGGTTTCAGTCCACACTCAGTTGGCTCCAAGGCAGGGTGGCATGGCGGGGCCGCAGTTCATGGCAGCTGCAAACAGCAAGCTCAAACCAGCAAAGAGAAAGACACGCCTTTTTCCTGCCATTACATCACATCTTGGCTCCACCTAGGCGGGTGTAGCACTGACACCCCCAACCCAAGCCCTGGACAATGAACCAATCACAAATGCACAATGCAAATGCCTGAGGCCTGGGGGCCACCGACGTAAACCATGACACCTTGTTTCTATCCCCACCAGCAGGGCAGAGGCACTGCTCTTTCCGCAGGGTCTCACCAGCTCTCCTTGTTACTTGATTTATTGATGACATCTGTTCTTTCCGAGTTAAGATGGACGCTTAATTGTTGCTTTAATTTGCCTTTCTCTAGTGGTCAGTGTTGTGGAGCATTTTTTATGTATTTATCGGCCGTCAAATTTAAAATTTTAAACAGGGCTGGGGCTGGAGCACAGCGGTGACTTGCTCTCCTGGTACGTAGGAGCCCTAGGCTCCATCCCAGGGCTGGGAAAGAAGATGGTTTCCAAGCACGCAGAGCCCTTGCCTCTAGTATGAGTTTTGTGCCAAAGCCCATAACCTCAATCTATTCTTTTATTGTCCTTTCATCTTTTTCATGAGTCCCCTTTACAGGGCTTACACTCGTGGTGGGGAGCCGCTGTGTGTAAACAACGCCTGGTTCTTCCTGGTTCCTCTCCCCCCCCCCGCCCCCCGCACCTTGTAGCTCTTAAAACAACCTCAATCTTAGCCAAAAAAAAAGGGCCCCCAAAGCCCTCCAGAGAAACAGTGCAGAAAGACCAGCCATTGAGCGGTCAATGTCCCCAAACACAAGGGAAGGCAGAGAAACCAAGACCTGAGAGGTCCAGGGGGCAGGAGAGGGAAGTCCAGGGCCCTGTGAGGGCAGGACTCCTGCAGCTCAGAGGCACCCGAGGCCCAGAGCTCCCAGCCACAGCTGGGCCCCGCGGGGAGGGCGCCCGAGGGGGAGCAGTGGTGCTTCTCAGAGCCAGAGCATGCACACTATTCCAGAAGCTTGCAGCAGCCCCCCAGGTGGGCACCATGAGGCAGCTTGCTGACTCCACACCAGTGGCTTCCCAGAAGCTGGGGGGCCCTGGCTGACTCAGACAAACCCCAGTCTGCCCCTGGGAGGACAAGGCCACCCTCCCTGACCTCTAGAGCAGTCTCAGCAGGGCAGCTCAGGAGATGTCATTGGAAGTCAGGGCACCCGTTCCTCAGCCCCTGCGAGCTATAGCCCCCGACACCACAAGAAATAGAGGAGACTGAGCAGGGTCTTCTGCTGGGCTGGACAGCTGAGCCAGGGAATTAATCATTCAGATGAGCAAACTACATGCCTGTTTTCCTAAATCCAATTCCCTAATAGCCACACCCCAGAAGCTCCCCCAGAAAACACAGTTCCGTTATAATTGGGGACTTCAGAGAGGGGTCAGCTCCTCTATCAGCCACGTAGTAAGAAACCCCAAAAGAATAATGCCCTAACAGACCACAAATGCGCCCCATCCACCAAGGACGGCTTCGGGGAACGGTGACCGGCCAGCCCTGAGCGCTTAGGATCAGCGCACCCCAACTGGGGGTCATTTTTTAAAGAAAAAGCAAACATTGGATTCCATAAATTCCACGTGTAATAAAATCATGCCACTTAAGACTTCGACGTGATTAAATTTAAAGTATAAATGTCTGGGGAGAAAGTAAGACATGGCAGGTTTATGAAACCCATTCCACGTCAAAAACGCCATTTAGGTTTCATGTGGCTTTTAGGGTTAGGGTTAGGGTTAGCAATGTCATTGTCTCCGTAAACAACTCCCCAAATGCTAAGGCCGCCCTTCCCCGTTCCTGGGGTTCCTGGGCGCGAGTCTGACTTCCCACCCTGAGTTAGAGCACAGGCACGGTCAGGTCCTGCAAGCTCCGCAGGAGAGACAGCCAGCCAATCTGTAACATTACCCCCGAAAAGGAATTCCAGAGCGAAAGAGGTCCCCCAAATGACAGATCCCCGCTCCTGTGAGCATCCATTCCGCCAGGAGCCCCCCTAAATACTTCCAAAGTGCTCCGCACTGTGGTTTTGACACCCTTCAGAGCCAAGCACTTTGCTGCAAACCTTCCGCTTCATTTGGAAGCAATTTAACCCTCAATTTATCCACAAACTCTGAAAGAAAACAGAGCAATTTCCCAGTGCAGATTCCTCCTGGAACGCGTGTGGGATGGCCTCTCAGCAGCACGGCCACTGTGAGGTGGACGAGGGCCACAGCGGACATGAGGGCATCAGGTCCAGATGGCCCAAGGGGTGCTGTTGGCTGGGGCTCACTTCCTCCCGTCCGGGTGGGTAGCATGCTTAATGATGGATAATTAATCACTGCAGAGGGGTGGATATTTTCATGGCATGCTGATGAGATGCAAAGAGATTCAGCCCTGTTGAAAAGCTGTTACATAGCCGTCTACAGTGCAGGAACCGACGCCCGGACAGACTTTATTTCCAGATACTAGGCTGCAGAAAGACTGAGCCTCTTGCAAAGAGGTGGCAACAACAGGGGTGCTTCTCATAGCGCTGGTTGCAAGATGAGAAAATTATTTTTAAACACCCGAAATCCATCACGATTTAAGCAAACAGAAGCAAAGATGTGTTTTAAAAAGATGACCTGGCAACAGAGCGATTTCTCAAGGCAGACTGTCGAGAGAAAGCAAAGCGGCAGAAATGAGCCAGGTCTAAAGGATGCTGGTGAAGCCGACACCAGCTCGTTTTCTCATGGTGTGTAGGAGGGAGCTGCTTCGTGAAAAAGCAAGAGGAAAGCCAGGAGGTGTTCAGTAATTAAGTGAATAAAATGATGGGTTAATAGATACATCATTAATGTTTCCCGTATTGACATCTGCCTTTTTGTTTTTAAAAGCAATGTCTTGCTGTGTAGTTTTAGGTCAGCCTTGAGATCACAATGTAATCCAGGCTGGCCCT